TGGTGCACATGTGCACCAGGAAATCAGCTAGCCGGCACGCATGTACACACCGGTTTTCAGCACTGCCGTGCACAGCGAGGACAGCTGACTGTCACACATGCATGCATGCCAGAAACCCAGAAGACAAACAGGCAAGGCTACGCGTGCCAGGCGACATGGCTTTGTGTGCCACTTTGGGCATGCGTCAGTGCTGAAATACATTTTTTTTACTACTGGTTCTGTGAGCGTGGCTTGGTGGGCATGGCAGGGGAAGGATACTGCCAAATCTCCATTCCCAACCCACTCTGGGACAAGCCAGAGATGGTATTTGCTGGTTCTCCGAACTACTCAAAACTTCCACTACCGGTTCTCCAGAACCTGTCAGAACCTGCTGAATTTCACCCCTGGCACACGTGCCATAGATTTGCCACCACTGGTCTAGAGTTTGAAAAGTATGTCAAGACTAAGAGGCCTGAATACTAGGCATAAAAAGGAATTTGGGAATCTAATACATTATACTTATGCTGTATAGTACTTGCTGTTGGTAAGAAAGAGAAGTTTTGAGGTTGTATCTAGGACTCGTTCAAACACTGAGATTTGAAGAAATCCTATTTTTGGATCTAGATAATCCAGTAGTTTTTTCTAATTCAGAAAGTTAGATCGTTTCTACATTAAGTCATTGGGACAAAGAAGTTTTTTGCAAGTCCACTGCTCAAAAACATTTTTTTTTCTCTAGGTAAGGTAGCTCATAGAAAAAACAATTGTGTCTTTTTGTCTCTGTAATTTTATAGTTCAAGAATATGTAGCATTTTTTTCAAGATAAAGCCTACCTTAATCCCTTGAATAAGATTATGTGAACTGTATTTCCCTAAGGTGGATTGAATCAGGACCAAAAAATGGGTGGAATCAGATTAAACAAAAAACTAAGCATGATTTTGTTTGATTTCAATGCCAATCCAATTACATTTCTTTCGTAGCCCAGTTATCTGTCTTCCCTGCTATTGTACCTTTTCTGTTTTGCTGTTTAAGAGAGAATAGACATTTACCTCTGATGATTTCATTGGAGAAATTGGTTCCTTAAGTCCTCATAAAGTTTGTTTCCTCTTTCTGCTGTTGGATACATGTTCCTAGGATTCCTAATAAAGCTACGATTACATTCCCAAATGTTTCTTCGGCTTGGGCATTTCAGAATTTCTCCCTTCCTTACATTCTGGACTGCAAAAATATTCATCTAAGACTATAGGATTTTAAACACTCATTGTTGCAATCTCCAAAAAGCACATCATGCAATCCCTTTGAATTTTCATCCTCTGAGACTTGTAACTAACTTCCATGGTTGAGTTAAGGAACAACTGCAGTTTAAAGACTTAGACTGAAGGATTGGGTGTTTTTTTTAATGATCCTTAATGTTTAGAGCCATGTGGCTCTTATCAAGGTTTCAAATGATTCATTAGCTCAGCCCCTCATCATGTTCTTCTGCTGCGACATTCCCCACTCTGGGCCCCTAAAGTCACATTTTCCCAATCACCTGGAAGCTGAGCAGTTACCTGTTTTGATTTATTATTGGACACATAGACATTATTCTGAAAGCACAGCCTATGCTTAATTTGAAGCAGTCCATGTGTAGGTAGCAAATCTATCTTGCTTTCCAATGCAAGAAATCCTGGGTAATTCTATCTTAGATAAAACCTCTTTCTGTTTCATATTTGCTTGCAGTTGTGTTGAAGAACGGTTGCAGGAACTGGGTATGTCTAGTTTAATGAAAAAAAGGACTAGGGGAGACATGATAGCAGTGTCCCAATATCCCAGGGGTTGCCACAAAGAAGAGGGAATCAAACTATTATCCAAAGCACCTGAGGGCAGAACAAGAAGCAATGGGTGGAAACAGAAA